CCCCTACATCTGTTCCTCCAGCTATCACAATATCAGCCTTAGCACAGGCAAGTTACTGTTACAGTTTTGGCAGCAGCTGTATTTCTCCTGGAACCTCTGCTTAGAGTTGGGAACCAAGCTGGGAACTCCCTCCACCATTCCAGTAACAGGATACAGCACCACCACCACCCCCCCACCCCTGGCAGAGCAGGCCAGGAGCCAATATGAGAAGGGGCCTGGCCAGGTACATCCCCGCCTTGCTGTCCTAGGTAAGGACAAATGGCTGTCCTTACCAGGCCTTTGACTCCTGACCTTGCCTGGTAACCTCTGAAGTGAGCCTGAATGATTGTGACTTTCTCCTGGAGGACACGGAGCCGCCTGTGGCGAAGAAGGCATCGGAAGTTCCTTTGCAGAGTAGCAATGGCCCAACTCTGCCTCTGTTTCCATTGTCTCTCCAGAAGCTGCCTGGCCTCCTCCTTCAGAAAGACCTAGCCAAAGGGAACAGCTGCTGACCCACAAGGAAAGCAGCCAGCTTCTTTAAGAGTTGCTCTATCTCTTTGTAGCATTTAAGGCTCCCTGCCAAGGAAACTGCACTCCCTTAATTGGGGAGGGCAGGAGGCGTAGGTGCAGGTGACAGAGACGGATGCGTTTGTGGAGGACAGGGAATCAGGGAGTGATGAAGATCAGTAGGCAGAAAAGGCAGAAGCCTGGATCTTCATCAAGGAATGCTGGGTAGACAAAGGAGTTGGCCATGCTACTACAACAGCCTCGAGCCAGTGTCTCCTGTTTCTTTACCTGAAATGCTAAAAATCCCTCCTTCATACTTGAGACAAGAGGCAAAGCAAAAGGGAGGTGAAGGCATGCAATGTTCTCCCTCTTTGGGCAGAAAGCTGAGCTGTTCTCTGTCCACTGACAGCCAGCAAATAAATGGCTAGGCCTGTGCGATTAAGATGGGATTCTCTATAGGCATCACCTTTGTTACTCCAATCTGATAGAGATCTGAGGGATTCCCCACCACATGGGACAGCACTGCCGCACAGCCTTCTCTCTCCTCCAAGCAGTTGTGCCTTTGCCCAGCCAGGAGGCCATACCTGGAAGAAGAGATGTTCATATGATGGAAGCCAGGGCTGTAAGTGGAGTTCTTAGAGGAGAATAAATTACAGTGTGCTGACAAGTTTATGCAGGCTTTCAGTGGCTGGGGAATCCCAAGCCAGTACACCACTGTACCTGGCTAGGAAGTTCTGGAATGGAAGACGGACTGGGTATCCCTCCTTTCTAATGTGGATAGCCTCCAGTATCCCAGAATGTCGCAGCTGACAAGTGACATACTCCACATCAAAGATATTTGACAGCTGTGAATATAAGGCAGAAGAAAAATGTAAAACAAGAAATAAAGAAAGAAAAAAGAAAGGAGACAAAAGACAGGCAGTTTAGAAAGGGTCTCCTCCTATTGTCCTGTCCTTGGGTTGTATCTTGCCATGGTCTCTGGGCAATGGAACACAAAACCCAACACGTCGTTTGATGTCCAGCTAACACTGGCTTCTTATCCTCCAACATGTGGTCAGCTCACATGGCCACAGGGAAGGGGGAGAGACAGAGAAAGGGGAAGAAAAGTTTCAAGCTATCGAATAAAGCAAAGAAGTCCAAATCCCAACTGCAAAAGGAGAGCTACTGGAGAGGACTGGACTTCAAGGAGCTCAGGGTGCTGCCATACCTTTTTGGGATTAGGGGTGATGCACCAAATGAAGAAGGTGTGGCTTCTGCAAAACAGAAGGAAGAACCTTTGATCATCCTCTTCTCTGTGCTGACCCAGGAAGACTTCACACACTTCTGGGTACAGCAATCAGCCCAGTGCAGGGATGGCACCATAACAGTATCTCTCACCTCCTCAACTTGGCTGTGAGGTCCTGCAAAGACTGCTGGAATTTGGACACCAGTGTGGAGGCCTGAGGCTTGAGCCCTTTGCCTCTGGTCCCCAGCTCCCTTTGCTGACTATAGGCAGCTTTAGCCTTCTGGAAAATGTGAGACACCACCTGCAAAACCAAAGAAATGACCAAAGCTCTCTGAACTACACAGAAAGAACGATCTCTTCTACCTGAAACTGGGGGACCATTCTCCCTTGCCCCTAGCAGTGCCAGGAACCCAGCTGCATTCCTAGACAGTCTGTGCATTTTATATGTAGAATGCGTCAATTGTGGATAAAGATGACTTGCTCAATACCCAAGTGTCCTTCAGCAGAACAAAACTCCTCATGGTTTCTCCAGGTCCTCCTGACACCTGACCAGGATCTTTCTGCTTCTCACATGAAAGCAATGAGTGGTTCGTTCGGTGTCTGCAATAGAGATCTTCATCCTGAACAACTACAGTACCTTGAGGCGGCTCTGAGAGAAGATATCCAGCACCTCTGGACGCAGCTGGTCACGGTTTTTATTAAGAAACTTGTGGACCTGCAGAGGCAAAGTCTGATTTAATGCACCATTCAGGCCAGCAGCCAGACAGGCAAACACCCCTCTTACACACACCTTGACTTGGGGCAGGCAGCTGGAGAGACGGAACAAGGTGAAAGCCCTAGAGAATGAAGCTTGCTGTTCCTGGTGCCAACAGGAGTGGAGGGGACAATGACTTCTGCTTTTAGGAGGGATTGCTCCTTTTCCCCTTCACATTGCCTAGCAGGCCTTGACCCCTCACTTTTTTTCAGCAGCAACAGCTTTCCTGGATTTCCAGGCCTCTGAGACAAGCAATGTAGGCTGCTGTGTAGCTGAGACCATTACCTATTTTGCTTCTGCCCAGAGGCAGATTAGTTGCCTCTCCTAATAAGAATCTCCTAATTTCTGAGAAACTGATGCTCTAGAGGGGTGTGCAGTTACAAAGAGAGGGCTTTGTTCGCAGCACTCGGAGCTGGTCCATCAGGACATCCACAGCATGCTTCCAAGCTAGCCTATCGCTCCAACTGCTCAGAACCCCCTGCCAGCTCACCTGATAGGTGACAGGACCTGCATAATGCTTCACAGTGAAGACTGGCAAAGGCAACTTGGGCTTGGTGTACCAAGGGCTGTTTCCATGATGGTAATGACACTTCTGGAGGAAAGTGTGGTCAGTGGCCTGTAAAAGAGATGACCAACATGTTTCCTGCTGCTGCAGCATATTCAGTAGGCTGAAACGCCACTGTTAAACCAAAGGTAAAAACATCTAATACTTGTGTGAACACAGTCCCTGTTCAATCTGTATAACTGCCTCACCATAACCACCCTGTGAAAAGGATCACATAAGAGGATAAGAGCTTCTCACCTGAGTCAGTGAAGTCTGGTCATCCAAGATACACAAGATGCCATGGGGTTTTGCAGCAATGAAATCTAGGCATGACTCACTGTACATCTTGGAAATAGGAATCCAAGCTAACTGCTCTTGGATATATTCCTCCTGCATATTAAAAACCAACCAGTCAAATCCAGCCTTGCAAACAAGAACAAATGGAGGTAGTTAGCAGAGGGATTTGGTTTATTCATGAGGAAGTTAGTGTTTCACTGCTGTCAGGAACTTGCCTAGATTTATCTGGTTTTGTCTTATGAAACTTCTTCTAAAGCCACTAATGACTTTCATAATTTAAGACAGGAAGGCTGCTAAGCAGAGTGATAAAGTGAACTGTAAAAGGCAACAAGTCTGATACATGCACTTTCATCTCCAGTACATGAGTGGTACATAAAATGCTACAATGAATCTACCAAACAAGCTTTAAAAGTATCAGCTGAGGTCCGGGTTCCTTGGTCCTGACCAACTCACTCACAAAATCTGTAAAAGGGAGCAAGGCACTAACAAACTCCCCTTAATTTACTACAGAATTAGTAAAAGATATTAAATAGCCTGCCCTTTGGACTAGGTTTCCATGGGTACTGCTTAAGAGGGCCAGGTCTACTCAGCTTCCTGTTTCCCCGCTAAAGGACACTCTCCAGCTGAGGCTGCCTCAGCTCACTCCATATGTGCTGCCTTTCACCTGCTGGCGTGAGTTCCATTTACCTTCTCCTGGGCAATGACAGTCTGGCTGAAAAAACGCTGGAGATGCTCATTGGCAAAATTGATGCAGAGCTGCTCTAAGCTGTTCACACCTAGATCCTGCAAAGACAAAAAGGCATCATCACTTCCAACCCGCAGCCCTCCCAGAAGGCTGTGTCTTCTTGCGAATAATGCACAGCACCAGATGGTGCTGATCTGAGCTGCTGGTTCAGGCAGCTTGTTCTGATCAGTAAGTGTGAATGAACCTGAGAAATTCAAATCATCTTATGTCTAGTTTGCAAGCTCTCAGCCTGGTTCATTGACTAGGCTGAACAGCAAGAGGCAAGACAAGCTGTGAAGGAGCACAAAGAAGAAGAGATCTACTCTTAGATACAAACCCCAAATGTACACGCTCCATTGTTTTCAGCATTCATCAGAACATACAGATTTTAACAGGAATCCCAAGTATAAAACCCACAGGTCCTGATGAGCACATATCACTCTAAGCCCCTGCTCTGCCTGCTTTTTACTCACCACAAGTCTGGGAAGCCCCCAGAAGCTCACTGGGGCACAGACATGGGTGTATACCTTACACAAGGGTAACAATTCCTGACCCAGAACTCTAGATGCTACCCAAACCTCAATTTCAAGAAGTGACACCCTGCAGGGCCTTTGCTTACAAAATTGTCTGCACTTCTCTTATCCCTGGCCTGATCCAAAGTCTAGTAGATCAGGGAGAATCTTTTCAGAAACTTTGGTGGATTCTGGATGTGTCCCTATTCAGGCTGGGAGTAACAGAAAAACATATGCTGAAGCACGTGAAAAGAAATAAATCATAAAAGATAGTGTTAACATATATCCCGCTTTATCCAAGTCTTCAGGAACAAATGGGAACAGTTAGATTAAAACTACATTTAAAATGTTTTTCTTTCTTCTGTTAGTAATAGCACCAGGAATTATTAAAATGTGATTCATTAAGAATTAGCTCATTCAGCTCACCTCATCAGTACAGCAAATTTATGGTAGGTATTTTTCTGAGTTTGGTCCATCAAAACAGGCTGATGAGTGACCTGGCTCCCCAAGCCACTGCCAAGCAGCAGAACACAGGCTGCAGGGAAAGGACTCTGAGCTGCTTTTTACAGGAATTTGTGTACAAGTGAACATTCAAAGAAACTTCAGGGGGGTTTGTCAAACCTTCTTTAGGTGAGAATCAAACCATGGAGTTAAAATCCCTATGTATCCTTTCAACATCACACATAACTTGGTTTCTAAACTCCAGTGAACTTACTGAAAAGATGGCTTTGATCTGTATTTAATACAGCGTATGAGCTAATTCAATGGGCCAAGTTGGCTGAAAATGGTGGTTTTGTTCTGACTTAAACCCAAATAATTTTCCTCTTCCTTAGAATGACAGGGCCAAAACTAGCTATGTGCACTATCTATGCAGCACCATACTGGTCAGCTCATGCAAAAGTATCAAACATGCAAGGCTGACATGGTGGGAGCACCAGAAAACACTCCGTTTGAGATTAGCCTGTTAACTGGCTATGATTGTCAAGACTCCACTTACACACCAATACTACTTGTCATCCACCCAGTCCTATCTACCTTAGGATTCTACCTATGCCACACAGTCATGAAAATCTATGGGCTTCTGCAGGTAGCAATTCATAACAGGACTCTGTAGTAAAAGTGTTAAATCACACTCTCAAGGAGCACTTCTCTACTGCCTCTGAAAAAAAAGTACCCTCCTGAACACAGACATCTACACTACATGGTGCAATTACTGTCTCCTTTCTGGGGGG